AATATGACAAGGATAATAATAATCACAAAGACGATATAAGTTCTCATTCACGTGATAGGACCATATTTCTTTTGTCGGGGTTATGTAAATGAGGGTGATGTAAAAATATTACAAAGATAATAATTATCACGAATGCGAGAGAACTTATTATTCACGTGATAGGACAGTAGTTTTGGGGTGGAGTATATGACAAGAATAATAATCACAAAGACGATAGAAGTTCTCTTTCGTGTGATAGGACCATATTTCTTTTTGTCGGAGTTATGTAAATGAGGGTGATATAAATATATATGACAAAGATAATAATTATCACAAAAAAGATAGAAGTTCTCATTCACGTGATTTGACAGTAGTTTTTGGTTGGATTTTATGACAAGGATAATACTAATCATAAAGACGTTAGAAGTTCTCATTCATGTGATAGGACCATATTTCTTTTGTCGGGGTTATGTAAATGAGGGTGATATTAATATATGACAAGAAAAATAATAATCAAAAAGAAGATAGAAGTTCTCATTCACGTGATAGGACAGTAGTTTTTGGTTGGATTTTATGACAAGGATAATAATAATCACAACGACGATAGAAGTTCTCATTCGCGTGATAGGACCATATTTCTTTTGTCGGGGTTATGTAAATGAGGGTGATATTAATATATGACAAGAAAAATAATAATCAAAAGGAAGATAGAAGTTCTCATTCACGTGATAGGACAGTAGTTTTTGGTTGGATTTTATGACAAGGATAATAATAATCACAAAGACGATAGAAGTTCTCATTCGCGTGATAGGTCCATATTTCTTTTGTCGGGGTTATGTAAATGAGGGTGATATAAATATATGACAAGAATAATAATAATCACAAAGACGATAGAAGTTCTCATTCACGTGATAGGACAGTAGTTTTTGGTTGGATTTTATGACAAGGATAATAATAATCATAAAGACGATAGAAGTTCTCATTCGCGTGGGATGACCATATTTTTTTGTCGGGGTTATGTAAATGAGGGTGATATAAATATATATGACAAAGATAATAATTATCACAAAAACGATAGAAGTTCTCATTCATGTGATAGGACCATATTTCTTTTGTCGGGGTTATGTAAATGAGGGTGATATAAATATATGACAAGAATAATAATAATCACAAAGAAGATAGAAGTTCTCATTCGCGTGATAGGACCATATTTCTTTTGTCGGAGTTATGTAAATGAGGGTGATATAAATATATGACAAGAATAATAATAATCACAAAGACGATAGAAGTTCTCATTCACGTGATAGGACAGTAGTTTTTGGTTGGATTTTATCTGATGACAAGGATAACAATAATCATAAAGACGATAGAAGTTCTCATTCGCGTGATATGACCATATTTTTTTGTCGGGGTTATGTAAATGAGGGTGATATAAATATAACAAAGATAATAATTATCACAAAAACGATAGAAGTTCTCATTCATGTGATAGGACCATATTTCTTTTGTCGGGGTTATGTAAATGAGGGTGATATAAATATATGACAAGAATAATAATAATCACAAAGAAGATAGAAGTTCTCATTCACGTGATAGGACTGTAGTTTTTGGTTGGATTTTATGACAAGGATAATACTAATCATAAAGACGATAGAAGTTCTCATTCGCGTTATAGGACCATATTTTTTTTGTCGGGGTTATGTAAATGAGGGTGATATAATTATATGACAAAGATAATAATTATCACAAAAACGATAGAAGTTCTCTTTCGCGTAATAGGACCATATTATTTGGTTGTGGTTCATGTAAATGAATATGATAAGTACGTTTGGCAAGGATAATAATAATAATCGTAAAAACGATAGAAGTTCTCATTCACGCGATAGGACCATTGTTGGGGTGTATGTAAATGAGGATCATATAAATATATGACAAAGATAATAATAATCACAAAGACGATAGAAGTTTTCATTCACGTGATAGGACCATAGTTTTTTGATGGGGTTATAATGTAGATGAGGATGAAAGAAAACAAGTCAAACATGCAGTGCAGAGGAGCACAGGCGAAGAGAGGGAGATCGAGAGGGTGCGAGAGGAAGGGAAAGAGGGAACAAGAGAGAGAGAGAGTGACAGAGAGAGCCTGGGTCTATATTTCGGAGAGAGAGAGAGAGGGTCCATGTGGTGAAAATGATTTTTTTCGAAACTTCCAAGCGAACATTACATCGAACTTCTGTAGGAAAGAGAGAGGGGTGGGGGGGGGGGGGGGACAGAGAGAGATAGAGAGAGAGAGAGCGGTATCTGGATAGACATATTTATTGTATTTCTTTCATGTTTATCTGAACGATTATGTGGTCATTCATTTTCAAATTGCTTTCTTTCTGATATTCTTTTCTGAATGCATTTCACGGACATAACAATTGGAAAAAATGACAAGACTTCATGTATCCCGTAGGCCTACTTGAAATTGTCTGTTATAAAAAAAAATTAATGTATATCAAAAAGACTGATCAGTCGAAGCTGAGACTAGATTGAGACGGTTGCGGAGGAGGGTTTACGGGTACGTCAAACCATAGGTTTATGGTCAAACTCACTCTGCAAGGAGATTATAACTCCCTTGATTTGTGCGATACAATCCTGAACGGTACTTGCTCTCACCCTAGACCTACGCTCTCACACAAAAGCACACAGATGCTGGTACCATGGAGCTATAAAAAAGAACATGGACCGAAGCCATTCGAATACAGTCGCTTCCCCGCCGTGGAGCGGGGTCAGCGCAGTGTCAAAATTGCTGTTGTCTTCTGTCCATGCTTGCGCCGGGCGGGGCGAACGTAACACAATGTTTCAATATCGATTATACCATGAACCATTTACAACAGTAGATGGCGCTAGTATACAACATCATGAGCCGGTTTAAATACAGGCAGCTTGGAACTAATAATTTATTTATTAATTACTGTTTAATTCACTAAAAAAAAAAAAAAGAATTTCAGCGGTGGAGATTGGTTAAAGATATTCCTATTGCATCTTGTTATAACATCAAAGAGTTTCAGATGAATTAAATATTTTTACCAAAACTTTGTAATACCTTTAATATAGGCCTATGCAGTTTGCATTCTGACTATTGAAATACTATTATTCTTATCAGGTGAATGAAATAATTTGTATTGAGGCACTTCACAAAGTCTTATGCATTCAATTTATTTACATTACGAAAATGGCCTATTATGAAGCGCCTCGTTACAAATTATTTCAATCATCTGTTCCCGGCATCTGTTACGAATAATTTTATTTCAAAAGTTAGAATGCGAATTGCAAACGTGTTTTTCGGTACTTGGCAAGCCCTAATTCAGTTCATTTTATTCAAAACCACAAAAAGCATGATATAATCTGTTACATAAAACAGAGACTGGTAATAGTACATCAATCAACATATTCTAACTTGATTACATCATAAACTGAATGGTTTTAGGACCCCTTTAGAAGCTAAGCTTGTGAGCGGGGCCCTATGGTCAAAAAAATACATGCATTTACAGTAAAAAGAATGTTACGTATGATTATACAATGGATGAAAATACTAAGCTACAGAATATAGAACATACAAATACTCTCTCTCTCACACAAACACACACACACACGCACACACAGCAGTCACACTGATGAATAGGTCGATCCTTAGTGGTCAAAACGCATTTCAGAATAAGAAATAACTAAGATGATCAGTCTTTCAAGTAGGTACGTTTTAGATAACCTTCTAAACCTAGAAAGAGTTGTACTATTTTTTATATCATCAGGCCGGGCATCAGGCAGACTGTTCCATTCTTTAATGCAAGAGATATGGAAAGAGGTCAGAGTGACATTTGTTCTTGCAAAAGGCTGACGAATACGACACCTTTGACGTGTATTATAATTATGAATTTGCGAGTTCTGACGGAATAAATCTTTTAACGTACATTCATTAGGCATAGACTTAAGATTAAACATAAACAATATGCAATTGAACGACACAAGTCCACTTAATGTAATTTGTCCTACCTAGCTAAGCAACAATAATATTAATGTAGGCACTTCACAAAGACGTGTGTATGCATTAGATTCGGTTACATTACGAAAATGGTCGATTGCAGTAAAATGTCAAAGTAGAGTCTATGCCTTCATACTTATTATGGATGGGTTATATTAATTATTATTAAAGCCCTTATAACTCGATTCTGAGTTTTCCGTCGCCCGCCCGCCCGCGCGCGGCCCGTGTTTGCGATCAAAAATCTTTTTTTTTTAGACTTAAAAAAAACAAAAATACTTTTGTTGGTGCGAATTTTGTATTACCGTTGTGAATTGCCAACTTTACTTTTATTGTTACAAATTGCCTTTTTTTTGGGGGGGGGGGGGGATTCCATAAAGCACTGTTTTTTTTTAATCCCACTTTTATTACAAGAAGTGGGTTATTGATGTAGACAAATGCTCATGTTCCTTTACAGCTCAGTTTATGTAAAGTATGTTGTTACTAAAGGGAAAAAAAATCAGTCAGACACTCAATAGTGTCTGACAGTGAAGTCTAGCAAGTAAACGGGTTTCCTTGTATAATTTGAATAATAAGACACTGCTAACGTTTAAGTTTCACAGAAGACATATATACATATGGCATATTCATAATTCCTGCAAAGTTCTACAGAATTTGATGTTGGCTGCAAATGGGACATAGTACTGTTCTATTTGGATTTATAGCATGTATATGTGTGGTTTATTTTTTTACAATATTGATGTTTGTATTAATAAAACAAAACCAAGATATGCTAACAATGTGTATAATGCGATGTTCATACATGCATTAATTAAGTTAACAAACTGGAAATACACAAGTTTAACCAACAAAGGTGAATTAAGTGTTCGTAAAAAGGAAATAATGAAACAGTTCCTTATTATGAGCTGAACAAAATGTGACGGGAAACTCGCAATCAAGTTTGGTTGGCCAGATAAGGTGTGGCCTTGCGGCTAGCTGCTGAAGTAAGTTTATTCGAGGGCACGTTGGGAGGAGTCGTAGCACAGTGATGATCAGTCTGAATAGTCTCCCGATGGCCTATGGTACCAAACCCAGATCCAGATTCATTGTCATCCAATATTAAAAATAGGAAACAACATCTCAACGTGAACGTGAAAGACGATTCCAAAGTGGATTCAGGTTATGATTGGGACGCTGACATGATGAGGGGAATTACAGCATTTACAAGCATTGTTGGATGAAGGTAACATTTAATAATTTCAATATAGTCGATTGTGAAAAGTGCCGGGGAAAAGTGATGTACTCGTGTTTGATCTTGAGTGTGTGCGATACCAGCAGGCGATTGTTTGTGCAGGAGGCCGGAGGGTGATGGTGGTGGTGGTGGTGGGATGGTGTACGTGCAGCTTTTGGCTCCAGTGCATGAAGACACGTTTAAATCGAATGACGGATAGGAACCAAAAGTTTTGTTAAAGCCACGCTGTACTACTTGTAGCTACTTCCTCCCTCTATAGTAAATAGAAAACTTCCCAAATCAGTGCCTGTTGGTCCACCATGATCCTCTTTTTCTAAATGTTATTAATTGAGAGCTGAATTTTTAATGAGCTATGTAGCCACCTGTCAGTGACCTCGATGGGTGGTCTAATCCCTTCTGGTTGAACTAGTACAGCCGCCCTTTAAAAACAAGAGGGGGCCTACTAACGGCTCATTTTGCCATTGGTTGGTTTGAAACTTTGAAAGAATTAAAAACATAATTTGTTTATTTCTATTTATTTATTTTATTTACTATTTATTGATGAAAATTAATTAAATATTTCATCTTCAGGGTTTCGCATATATTTCATGGCACGTTTGTTGCACAGAGGATGGGATCCTGGATTAGCAACCCAAAGTTTTAGTGACAAATACTAACAAACCAAGTCCAAAAATAATTTGTTCAGTTTTTAAATATTTAGATTTTATTTTGATGGTGATTAATATTTACATTTCCTCTTCATCAAGAGTAGGGCCTAGATCTTCCATGCGGCTTTAATTTGATATTTGATAGAATTTTTGAATTTCATGCACAAACGTGACAAATCCAAGGCTTGGAGCTGGAAAGTATTCACTTTAGCAGATAGGGGGGGGGGGGGGGGGCTTGGCATGGTTATTTGCCCCCACAGCAAAATCCCTGCCATTCTGTCATACCTACATGTAACATACATATATATACACAAACAGAGCACTCTGATAAGTGCCCATTTTCATCTCTGATAAGTGCCCCTTCACCTCTGATAATTGCCCTATTCAAATCTGAGAGGTGTCTATTTTAATTTGACAAGTGCCCCTTTTCCCTCGTATAAAGTGCCCTTCCACTTTTAATAACTACTCCCTTTTTAACTCGGATAAGCAAACCTTATATTTTCACATGAGCCCCTTTTCCTTTCTAATAAGTGCCCCTTTTCCTGATAAATGCCCCCATTAAAAAAGAGCTCCTTTTCATCTCTGGTAAATGACTCTTTTCAGGTACGAGAAGTTACTCCAGAGTCCATTTCACTTTGGATAAGTGCCCCCTTCACCTTCGATAAGTCCCCGTAATAAAATCTGATCGGTGCCCCTTTTCTTTCAACTAATGCACATTTTCCTTTAATATGCCCCTTTTTTATTCTCATAAGGGCCCCTTTTCATATCTGGTCATTGCCTTTTTTTCAGGTGCGATAAGTGCCCATTTTAACCTCTGATAATTTCCCTTTTAACAATGGTACATGCCCCTTTTCCTTTCTAAAAAGGGACCTATCCCCTTTTCATAAATGCCCCTATCAAAATCTGATGGGTGCCCCTCTTCTGTTGACAAATGCCCATTTCCTATTCTTGGTGCCTTTTTCATCCCTAGTGAGCGCCGCATTTTGAAGGTGTAAGAAGTGTCCCATTTTCGTCCCTGATAATTACTCTTTGTACTTTGACACATGCTTCTTTTTTCTGATAAGTGTCATCTTTTCCTCTCACCATTAAATGCGCCCCTAATTTCAAGCGACTAAGGCGAGGCGTCAAAAATAAATATACCAGCCAGCGGCAGCTAACTGCACTTGTGCGTCCTGGCTGCATTTTTAAAATTAGCTCAGCCGGCTACCGCTGGCGGTAGGACCCTCAATTAACTCATGATGTCATCATAATGGTCTCCGAACAAAAGCATGCGCCGGCTGCCGCCTTTCGAATGGAAACCGAGCCTCAGATCCCAGCCTGGCGCAAGCCGGCTGGGCTAATAAGTGAAAAATAATTGCCCCAGCCAGGCTTCGGCCGTAATTGCAGCCTCGATGCGCCAATACGTGAGGCGGCAGCCTGTTGGTATCGATATTTTTGACGCCTCGCCTAAATGCAATTTCCCCAAAGCTCGCTTGCATTTATAAATGATATACTTTTGTTACTTTTCAAAAGTCTTTTCAGTCTTCCGTTATGAGCATGTGCTTGTAACCCCATCAGGATTGAGTTTTTTCCTCTTTATAAGATGTAATTTTTTCACACTGCAACCTCACAAATCTTAAATTTCCCTTTGTAGGTGTGCCCTTTTTTCTTGGTGCCCCCCCCCCTGTACACAAAGAAATTTGTCACCTGATTGTAACCCCCCTCTCCTCCCCTCTCCTGTAGCAGCTTTAGCCAGCCCCCCCCCCCAACAAAAAAGCACCTGAAAAGTGTACTAATTACATGTACCCTTTTGCTCCATCAGACAACTTGGATCAAGAAAAATCACCTAGAAAGTAACGTGTAGAAATGTGATGAACTTTTTCTTTGCTTGTCAAAGGTTTTACAAGCTTCACACTTGTCCACCCCCCCCTCCCCTTCCCCACTGAAAAAGAATCGTTGATTTGTTTGTGTGTATAGTCGCCAGATTAGAATCTGAGAATAATTATTTTTATTTTAACACCTAGGTTATAGCCTAGAAGTAATCAGTAAGTTGATAATAATGATACTAGTGATCAGTGGCGTACGCAGGATTTTTCAGGGGGGGGGGTGTTTAGAAATTGGATGGCAACATTAATGTGAACCCGCGAGGTAGCGAAGAAACTGAACAGGAGAGGGTATTGGAGGGGGTTATTCACGTCTTGAATTTCGATATCCTAGCTTTAAAAAACCTCAGGTTTTCTTGCATGTCAAGTTTTCATGTTTCTTTTTTTTTCTCCACATTTTACAGTAAATAGAGACAGACATATGAAATAGAATATAGTCACATTACAATGAAACTCAATTCACGTGTCAGATTAGGTTAAATGCAATATTAACCTTATTTTAGTGCATTTTATGGCATTTTTTTCAGAACAATTTACGAGTAATTCATTGTGATTTAAGAAAAATACCAAATGGAAATTGTGGACATACCATATGGGGAGTATAGCCATGAGGGATTATGTTTTGTTCTTCAAGATTTAACGATCACCTCTCACCGTGGACGAGAGCCTGGCTGAGTGACATTAAAAGTGGGGGGAGGGGGGGGGGGGGAAGGGCACCAACAAAAAAAGGGCACTTCCTGGAAAAAACAGGCACGCACAAAGGGAAACCTCAAAGCAAAAATATACAATTTATAGACATTGTTAGGCCATATGATACCCCTACATTGTGATTAGATTATCAGGGATGATTTCATTGTTTGTTTTTCTCTGCACATGGTCCAAGATACTGCTTAACCCTTAGGGGGGTATTCTCGAAAGCGGCCTAAGTTAAATCAGTGGCCTAAATCTGGTTTAAACCATGGACTATCTTTTTTGCTATTCTCGAAGGTGGCCTAAAGATAAGCCAGGCTTAAATACGTCATAGTTCGGCCTAACTTTAGGCCGCTCAGAGGGCAGGTTTAAATACGTCATAGTTCGGCCTAACTTCGCGTGACGTCACTTTTTAGTTAAATCGACTGTCCGCGGAGAGTGAACGGTAAGTTTTGCATTTGAATTTCTATATTTGATAACAATTTACACTCTTTTGTATGGATAAGCGCTCATAAAAGTTACACCAGCTAATAAAGTATTTTTGTTAATTTCATGTTGCTGTACTGGTGATAATCTAAAATGCTTTTAACTGAATAAATTTGGGGGAAACTTGGTAAATGTTCACAGTGTTCGCAGAGCAGTCCCATACGTGCAAATAATTGTCGGTTAACATTTTCATTTCCTGAGATTGAGCAATTTCTTACCGGGTAATTTTTTTCTTGGCACGATTGTACTTTCGTACGCTTATACCACCTGAACATCACCTTAAAGATATCATTGCTAGACGTAGAAACTACTTTTATAGTGGATTTTCTAGACGCTGTTGCCTAAAAGTGGACTAGCAGTAGCACTAGGCCTAAATCTAGATCTAGCTGTCTCTTTCGTTCGTTAGCCTCTGATTTGGTCGGCTCCTCTCTTTCAGGAGCCGACCCTACCCAAATCAAAGGCTAACGAACGAAAGGGACAGAAATTTCGGTCTGGTATCACCTCTGCCTGAGCTGCAGTGCTAGTTGTGGCTGTTGGTGCGATCATTTCCTACAGGATGATGATGATTTTCATAACCACCCCCAAGAAAACATTTTTAAAAAAAATGTTAGGCCTACTAGACCTAGACCTCTAGCCGGCTCTAGACTAGATCTTAATTTCATCAATAAGAGTCTAGTCTAGACAGGTCTAATACAAATTGAAAGGAAATGGACAGAAGCTTCCTTTTTTTGACATAGGTCTACATTTGCTGATAATGTTACAGTAGTTTAGGCTTATAATACTTGTTAGTAAACGAGACGTCTAGGCCTACAGATAAATTGTAATTTCTTATCAAATATCAACATATTTTTTCATCTTGATTTTCTGCTATTTCAGGTTCTTTTCAATTGATGCATGGGGATGGAGAAAAAAGGCCTCTCCCAAGCTATGGTGTCCCGCCTTGTGAAGTCCATCTCAATAGCCATTGCCAGGAGATGGGAGCAATACATCACCATTCCTTCAGCAAGAGAGGCAGTCCTACAGAGTGCAGACCCAACATGAATTGTATAATTACTGCCATTTCCCTGGCGTTAATATGGTCGGTGCTATTGATTGCACCCACATAGGCATCTCCAAGCCAGTTGGCCCAACACCAGTTATTTCCTGAACAGGAAAAAAAAGATACTCCATTTTTCTTGGAAAGTCTGCTGGTGAGTAAAGCTGTAATTACGCCTAAATTTTGTAAACTAAATCATGTTTATACAATTTGTATTAAAAAGATCTGCTGAATTTATGAATCTGCAGATGTGTCTACAGGTACATTATGAAGTGATTTAAAATTGTTTTGTCTGATAAATGTAGGTGCAACCTACACTCAAACTTTTATTCATTTTACATGGGCACGAGCTAATATTTCAGCTCGATTGCCATGGCTACCAGTCATTCCTGACAGTGACAGCTTGGCCTAGACTTTTGGGCGGAACTATCTGAAAATAAGACACAAATAATCAACAGTTGATTAACTACTTTCAAATTTGGGTCAGAAGAAAATTCAAACCTACCACTAACAATTCTGGAACAAATAAGACTTAGAGACCTACAGACTACAGTACAGTGCAGTAAATTTTACTTTTACTTTTTCCCCTTTCACGAAGCTCATTTTGGGAGATAACATAAACAAAGACAATCTTTGGTCTAATGTTAGATTGAACTGAAATGGAAAAGTTGGGCTCTAACGATTAGGGCCTTGTAAAATCTCCATTTCAGGCTGCGTTTACATCTAGGTTAGGCCAACTGTCGGCTCATTATCTAAGTAAGATGTAGACTTGATTTCAGGAAAGGGGCTAACTTCGCTATAGACTTTAACTACTTAGGGCTTTCTTAGGCCATGACATGGCAAGTACAACTTGGTGCAAGCACATTTATGAGATAGTACTGCAAGAATGTGTATGTTTGTTCTTGACTTTAAAAGAGATACCGATAGTCATTCTGTAAATCAATGATTACTAGTAACTGAGTGGGGAGGGGGTGCCTAGTCACTGCCTACATGAAAGGCGCCTCAAGTTTTTTTTTTTAAGTTAGAATATTATTGACACTATAACTAAGACCAATTATCAATGGAGTAGATCTTTAATATTTTAATGAGGTCTAAACCTTTTTATTTTTGTTTCAGGATGATGTTTTTCTTCAGTAAAATAAATGAAGGCAAATTCCCTGATAACTGAGACAAATTCAGAGAGAGGAAGGAGAACTACTGAGCTGCTGAATTTCTGACAGGTAGGCTGTACGAATAAGTTGTTGTTTGTATGCCCAGGTACTTCAAGGATGGCATTTGTTCATTCACATTTTTCCATCAATACTTTCATGTAATTGATTAATATGCACTCCACTTTTACCACAATGTACATGCAAGACCTTTTTAATGTTTAACAAAAATAGGTTTCAATGTGCTTCCTTTCATTCTTTTCTCTTTTCATTCAACAGACATACTTGCATGGACTATGAAGTTCTACTTAGCCTCTTCAATGAACCAGACTCCATCTGCTGTAACTGTGACTGCATGGGGATCAAAACCTGTGTATTATAATCCTCATAACATGAAGCTATACTAACAAACAAGCAACCATTGATAAAAAGCCTGATATGTCCTTGTTGTGTGTGTGAACCACAAAGCAACCATCACTCATAAGGATGTTTTTATGTACATCAGATGTTCATTGTTTCACTGGAAAATTGTGATTTTGAATCATTTAAGAAATCGTGTTTTATAATGCATTTTATAATATAGTGCAAGTCATGATATAACAGATTCCTTGCAAAAGAAACACGGCTCAAAAGTAGACTAAGCTTTGTTTTAAAAAAATGGGAGAAACTAGTGTAACAAATACATGACATTTAATTCTAATAGTTTCAAGTAGCAGATTATGAGGCTATTGGAGCTTAATATTTGACCTTCAATTTTATAATCGTATTCATCGTGAATTACAATCTTTTCTGTTTTAAGAAAAATAAATAAATTGAACATAATTGTTGATATGTTATATACAATATTCCTTTCATATCTTTTGATTTTAAGTGTGCATACTGTTGGGTTCATTGAATTATACATGGAAAAAGTCTTGAAATAGAACAGTGAGAGAACAGAGAGCGAGAGAGAGAGAGAGATAGAGTAAAAGAGAAAGGGAACCAAATAAGAAAGAACAATTTAATGGTGAGAGAAATAAACAATGATGTGAGATAGTGTGTGTATGTGAGAGAGAGAGAGATGGAGATAGGAAGAAAGAGTTGGGGGGGGGGGGTACAGTGCCCCCTTTTTCAAATGCCCCTTTTCCTTTGACAAGTTTCCATTTCCTTTGCAATAAGTGCCCCTTTTCATTTTCGAGAAGTGCCCCTTCACCTCTGATAATTGCCCTATTTAAATCTGAGAGGTGCCCCTATTAACAAAATTATCGGTGCCCCTTTTCTTTCAACAAATGCACATTTCCTTTATTATAAGTGCCTCTTTTTCATTCTCATAAGTGCCCCTTTTAAAATATGTTCAATGCCCCTTTTCAGGCGCGATATGTGACCCTTTTCACCTCTGATAATTTCCCTTTTAACAATGATACAATTCCAGCAAGTGCCCTTTTTGTTGGTGCTGCCCCCCGCTTTGGAAGTCGCTCCGCCGTCCCTGGACGTCATATTGCTCAAGTTGTCGAGGTGATGCATCCTCTCCACACTGCGCGCATCCATTGTCTTAGCCCATTGTCTTAGTGCATTGTGACGTCATATTGCTCAAGTTGTCGAGGTGATGCATCCTCTCCACACTGCGCGCATCCATTGTCTTAGTGCATTGTGACGTCGCAGCTTCGGTACTGAGCATGTGCAGAAACCGTAACCATGGTGAATAATCCATGGACTAAGTTAGGCCAGGTTTAAACTATGGATCAGTTAGGCCACCTTTCGAGAAATGAAAATGACTTAGGTCAGCGGCCTAAGTTAAGCCTGGCCTAACTAAACCACGGTTTAACTTAGGCCAGGTTTAACTTAGGCCGCTTTCGAGAATACCACCAACAGTGTCTTGACATTTTTTAAGATCGCGCCGCACCTGCTTGGAATTTTAAATTGTTGTTTCATGACTTTTTCCCCTCAAGTCTTACGCACATTTTGATAACATTTTTCGTCGAAATTGGATATACCTGTAAAGGTGTTACATAACAATTAGTATGCGCATGTCATTAAAAAGTGCTATAATTGCATATTCATGTACAAGCAGAAATGTGAATACAGGTTTAGATTAGGACGATGTATTTCTTCCTAAGTGGGAGATATCAATTGATATCAAATTGCTTTTATATGTTACATTAGAAATAAAACAATAGATATAATAAATAAAAAACAATAAAATACATAAGAAATAAAATGATGAATTTCAAACTTTTTTTCTTCAGAAAAACATTTTGAGATGAAAGAAACATTTATTCAATACATTTTCAAGATTATTCACAAGTCTACAGACAAATATGTAGAGTTTTCTGTAAAATGTATACAATTAGCATTTTGCATTATAATTAATTAGGCTATAACGACAAAAATGTGTTCCTTACACAAATATCTACAAACATGAACATTTTCGTGTTCATCGGACATGCAACGGCCGAGATCAGTCAGTGAGTTGCTCAAAATAGCCCAGTACAGTAAGGGTTAAGCTAGCATCATACTTTGCAGTTGAGTCTGACGGTCTGAATATTTAATTTAAGATTTAATTTTTTTAATTTGTGAAGTCGCAAAGCGAAAAATTACATCTTATAATGAGGGGGGGGGGGGAGAATCCTAATCATAAAAGACTTAAAAGATCTTTATATAAGAAACAAAATCATAATAACTTATGAATGAAATAATGAAAGAAAAAGATGCTCTAAGTCGCTTTAAATTAGGAGTACATTTTAGGGTGAGAAGAAAAGGGGGCCCATATCCAAAGGGAAAAGGACACTTAAATAATTTACAAAATAAGCCATAACAAGTTTGGGGGAAGGATATTTGTGTGCATGTTGAGAATGTCGGTCGATAAAAGCACTGGAATCAACAGGTATTTTCTCCTGTCAAACGCCCTCCCCTCCCTATACCTACCTCAAGTAGCTCATCCATTTATGAATTGATGTGAATATAGAGGGTGAATGTTGATGATGATGATGATGATATGATGATGGTGACAACAAAAATGTTGAAGTTAATCATGATGAGGAAAGTTATGATAATAATCTTGATGAAATTAATATTATGATGATGCTGGTATAAGCACAGATAGAATGGAATGATTAATGATGATAATGAAGACAATTGATTGAGATTATAAAATGAGGACATTTTATTTGTAAGAGGAAGACTAGTTTGTAGGGATTTATTTTGAACTCTTAAACTCCCCTTCATATCCATGATTCATCCCTTTCATTAATAGGTCATCCCTCATTCACATTCACCATTTTCATCCACTATCCTTTCATATATCTATCTCTCTCTCTCTCTCTGATTGGTTCAATGTTCACCTGATGCAGTCAAGCTTAAAGTATAATTTACATATACTATGAATATTCAATATATACCCTTTGATTATTGTTTATGTTTGAATATTTGCCACACTCAACCCAGGTGATGTAAATGGGTACCTGGCAGGAATTAATTCCTTGAAATGCTAGAGCGGTGCAGTGGCTGCCTTGCTAAAGCCAGGGTAATAATCGGGGCAGCACCAGGAGCGTCACAATGTGACGGACATGTGCGCTATATAAGAAGCCACCATTATTATTATTATTATTATATTCAAGATACTTTGTGATGTTGATTTATACTTGTATGTGACTTCATGAATATTAATTTGTTTCTTCTACTTTGCATGGAATGTATGTAGAGTGCTACACAGAATGCAGTAATGCTTTTATACATTAAAACCTTGTCAGTTAGCCAGAAGTTATCAATCCTACAACATGTCTGCTGGGCTGCCTCTGTGTTAAGAGTGCTAGGAATTATCTGTTAGGACCGCAACCCTACAATATGTTAAGCAGGTGAAGGGCTAAGGAGCCCTCATTTGACCCCCTGAGCCCCTCCCATTCTTTGCATTTTTATTATGTCAAATAATCGAAGATAGCTCGATGGAGGAGGGGGGGGGGGGGGGGGGGGGGGGGGAAGAGACATTTCCTCATTCAAAGGCCCTCTCCAGCCTTCCTCCATACATAGGTCACATGCCGTAAAAAATAGAATTTTACTAGGGGTGCAGACATTACATGAGGTGGACCAGAAAAGTTTAAAGATTTGTGAGATCGCATTAAAGGCATCGTTTAACAACGTTCAATCTGAGATGCATGGCCCTAGAGCATGGCCCGAGCATTTACATCAAACAATGAAGAAAAAAATTAGAAAGTTGAATATGTTGTGACTAAAAGGAATGCCTGTATGTAGTAATCTAAATGTAAACATTATATTGAAGAACCGAACAACATTACAAGCATATATCAATTAAAGAAATCAAGAACTTGCTCATCTAAGAATGTATGCTACAATGATTATCTCATAAAAATAGTACAGGCCTAATAAGATTAATAAATGACCACTCGGTTTTTCTCTTCTCCTTGCAGTGAGCCATGGACTATGCAGCCAATAACAACGGGCCGCCGTAGGTCAATGTGAACGTTGGGCCGTGGGCGCTGGTAGCGCACCGGTGCCTCTGTAGAACGAGGGCCGGGGAGAGGTGTAAGCGAAAGACGAGACACCTCTCCCGCGTGTGCTACCAGCATCGAGATCATTACACAGCGGAAGAGTGAGTACTCAAACAATAGTGTCGGGCAAAACCATATAACCCAATAGGGGGTTTCTCAACAGCGATACAAGATTCTAAAAGTAGTCAACAGATCTTGATGAAAATTGTATGGAATTGTTGGTTGAATATCCCCTAATCTTCATGTACATTTCAGAACTACAAGTTAAGATTGTTTTCTAAGGCTTTATTACAAACAACATCCAAGGAGAATAAGCATATCTGTCCCCTAAACATGTTGTGGCAAGTTGTCACAAGAATTCTCCTGCTTTACTAAAAGAAAAGGGGTCATATCAAATAAATTTAGGGCATGGGAACGGTCAATTCTTTTATTTTAAGCGATAGATTTTCAGAATTATTTTTTTTCTTCAGAAAATCATAGAATCCATATTTAGTGTTTGTTGATTAAATCTTAATAATATATATTTAAACAGTTGAAAGTGTAAAACATTATTTAGTAAAAAAATAAAAAATACTTGGTTTTGTTTCCTACATCACAGCTTGCGTTATAAGGATGAAAACTTCCTAAGTTGATGAAGTAATTACAGTTTCATGAAAATATTTTTGAATATTTACTTTTATAATATTAGTTATTCATATGGGTTTGTTTTATCATACCGAAGGTGGCTTAGTCAGTGATTTTTACACTGTTATCCTTTAGGTCCCTGTGTATATAAATATGAAATTCAACACAATACATGAATGAGAAAATGAAACAACAACAAAATGTAACATTTCCATAAAAAAAACATTACAAAAGTATAATATAACAGCAAGTAATACGAACCAACAATGTTTGCAAAGTTTGTCATATAAATGTATCAATAAAAGTATGGGAAGAAGAAATTTAAGTTGACTTAATAATTTTGTACTTAGAGCAAATGAGAGCGGTGTCATATGATGTCAAATGATCGACAGCACAAGGTGGAAGTTTATTATATAGCTCCCTCTCAAGGTCATGATATTAATTAAGCTATAAAACAATGTTTCTTGACTAAAATCAATTGATTAGCTATTTCCGTTTGGAAATCACAACTACATATTCTGAGATTTTTATGGTCGTAGCTATTGTACGGCCGTAGGCGCTATTTCAAATTTATCAAAATCTACCAGGAGCACCGGTAAATTTTTATATTTAATTTTTCTCGAAAGCGGAAATGTTTTAGGGGCTAAATTTTCTAGTGCTTATAATACATCCACAGAGGCATCCATATGTATCAAAATTGTAAAGAATCACTATCCACCCATGTTTCTTATCAAGAGAGTTTTTCAGCTTATACATGTATTTTGAAATATTTTGAAATCTGAATGATCAGTTTAATAATTTCACAGACATGAAATATATTGGCTGCAAATGCACTTTCACCTCATGTGGTTTCTTTTATGTACATTATTTCGATTTTAGGAGCAGAGTGTCAATTATTTCTTGATGCATAAGTCAAGAGATCACAGGAATATGAATTACCAATGCAGTAATTACAAAATGAACATATACCAAACAACCATTTAGCAAACTAATTAGAAATTGTTACAAGAATTATTAAAAATTCCATAAATTACATTTACTAGAAAGATATCATATGATTTTTGTATAGGCACACTTTGAGAATAATGTACATTCCATAACTTATTTTTGTATTTCAATATTTCATGTTATCATTGTGAACAGATTACTGAAATATAACTGAAATATTTTAATCATTCATTTTTCTTGATCATTCGAGTAAGTATATTAAGTGTATTAACTATATCTTACATGTATTTTCATCAAACTAGGATACTTGAGATGGTTAACAGAAGGCGGCCGAGGTGTGAGGCGTTGACATTGAAAGGGCTGCAGTGTAGCTGCGATGCTACGAGGCAGTATGTTAATCAATGCTGCACCCAACACTGTAAGTATATTGCATAAAATGGAAGTAGAATCATTGCCAAGAAGAAAGTTTGAACAACTTCAGTATATTCTGATGATCTAATTATTGACAACATACAATGGTATGCACTTCTTGACATTTCAAGTTTCAAGTTTTATTGGTCCACATTTTACAGAAAATATAGACATACATATGAAATAAAAAATTATACAATACAACTATAGTATAAATAACCACATCTCAATGATTCTCAATTCATATAGATCAAGTAGAATGTGAGGAACCTATTGAAGAATAGCTGAGGAATGGAAAGAGTCCCTCAGGAAGGCTAAGTGAGAAAGTGCGTCGTTATCGAAGGTAAGTGCTTATTTGAGAAGGGTAAGGACAAACATAATGAAAAACCATGAAAAGTAGTAGTAAATAACATATCTAAATTAGTGCATCGAAAATAGATTGGTTTTAGATTGGTTGAGAGCTCGTCATGTGACCAGATATATTTTAACCATTTTAAGGTTGCTCTGACAAAGTACTAATTGAGAAATACTATTAGGGAGTTGAAATTTTTTGTTGTTGGTAATTTTTAAATTTTAAATTTAAACATTTCATTAAAATGTTTACATTTCTAAACTTGTATAAATTTGTTTAAATAAAAAAAGAAGTTAAAATGTTAGAAATGATAATTTTATCAATTTTTCTTTTCTTCTTGTTGCTGTTTATACAGGATTAAAATTAAACAAATTAATATACCCTAGGTGCTTTCTTTTCAAGGTACTGGTTAAAACTATGGGCCTCAGTGACTATTTTCTTTGGCCATAGTTTTAACCAAAACTTATCAGAACAGTGTATATTTGTATTATATATATAATAGTGTCTATCTATCTATCTAGCATTGCACAGTAATTCATCAAATATACATAAATCGTATCTTGAGCATTGAGTAGTAACAGTAATTAAGTAAATTTACACATTTTATATTATAATAAGTTAAAAGAATGAAAGGACATTGTTGAAGCATACCAAAATCCTTACTCTATGGTTAAATTATCATAATAAAGTTAAAGCCATGTTCAGACAGGGGCTTCCTAGTCTGCGTAAGTTAATCCCTGCAGCAGTAAATATCCCATAAATATTTGACTTGCACCATTAGCAGACCTGCCAACCAGTACGATTTAGTCGTATTTAGTATGATTTTTAGAAGCAAATACGACAGTACGATTTTCCTTAATAAAATACGATTTCAATTTTTTTTTTTTTTTTTTTTCTTTAAAAAATTTTTATTTTTTTTTTAAAATTAATATTTTGTGTGTGCGTCCGCTATTTTCAATGGCAAAAATGTCCATTCTGTCCTGTAAAGTATCCTACAAGCATCTCACATCGGCAATTTAGGGATGTTTATTGGTTCATCGAACACACCAGTCGTGACGAAATAATGCATATTCAACCAATGATCAATAAAAAAAATTCTTCCTGTAGGTAGAAACTGTAAGAGGCATTGATCTGCGTAACAATCCGTGTTTATTTCAAGAATACAACTTTTGTCAGTACAATACAACTTTTGACACTAAAGAATACAGTTTTTGAACTCCGGAGGGAGGTTGGCAGGTCTGCATGAGTTGACCATATCCTCTTACTCGGACCAGCTTGCCATGATTAAGATAATACGACCTTCCACTGACCCAGTCTTACTCGGACCAGCTTGCCATGATTAACAGCGTGTCCACACACAAAACAATTTATCGCGAAACTCTATAACGATACGTCGTATAAAGAATCATCGTATAAATTCCAGGATGTCCACACACAAGAAACGTCGTCACTAAAGAATCATCGTATAAAATGCCCCCTGTCCACACACAACATTTTCCGTGATTCTTTATAGAGTTTCGCGATAGTGATAAGAGGTCTGGTCTCATTTCGCTCGAGGTCACGTTAAGCCCCGCCCAGTTAGTTACACTAGTTACACTCCCCCAGGGGGTCCCCCTGTCCACACACAACATTTCCGTGATTAGGCGTGATTCTTTATTGAGTTTCAGTTCGAAACGATGCCCAAACCTGCGTTTCGTTAGACTAGTTTCGTTATACGACGTATCGTTAGTGAGCGTCCACACCTACAATTTTGGTCGTAAAACTATCGCGAAACGGTATCACTATCGCGAAACGGTATAGCTAATCATGATTAGTCACGGAAAATGTTGTGTGTGGACAGGGGGTAAGATAATACGACCTTCCACTGACCCAGTCTTACTCGGACCAGCTTGCCATGATTAAGATAATACGACCTTCCACTGACCCAGTCTTACTCGGACCAGCTTGCCATGATTAACCCTATTTTAACTGGGCTATTTCAGACCAGGTTTTTACTGGGGGGGGGGGGTCAATTTGACCCCCCCCTAAGATCTCGGTCGTTTCACCGCCGATCGCCGCGAAAATTCGCATGCATGTCAAGTGAAGTGTATAGAATACTATGGTAATTTCAAATTTTTGAAAAATTCACTCATTTGCATATTTATGGTAATTTATGCAAATAAGGTCATCAAATTCACATTTCTGCCCATAAATCATAGATTATTCATGTTTACGTATTCTTTTTCACTACATATATTTATTAGACCATTTGGAATAATAATACAACACAACAAATTGGAAGAGCCAGGTTATTCCTTATGTTATCTCTTGTTTTTATAATTTCTTATGTATTTCATTGTTTTTTTAACTTATGTATTTTATTGTTTTTGTTGTTTTATTTCATTTATAACTACAATTCAACTATTTTGACCCCAAAACAAACATCTAAACTTTAAACAAGACTGAATAACCAATGTTTTATCTATTTTTAGGAAAAATGACTTTTACATATGTTTTGTACACAAATCACGAAAATGAGCGATTTTCGGGCTGACATGCAAAGACAAAAGGTCACGTGACCTTGTAACCGTAGGTCCGATTTTCAAAAAAATCGTTTTAAAAGATGCGTAAGACTCGAAAGTAAAAAGTCATGAAAGGAATATTTTATATCTGCCGCAGTTTCGGAGTAGTCGCGAAATTTCTACAGGGGGGGGTCAAATTGACCCCCCCCCCCAGTTAACGTAGGGTTAAGAGAATACGACCTTCCACTGACCCAGTCTTACTCGGACCAGCTTGCCATGATTAAGAGAATACGACCTTCCACTGACCCAGTCTTACTCGGACCAGCTTGCCATGATTAAGAGAATACGACCTTCCACTGACCCAGTCTTACTCGGGCCAGCTTGCCATGATTAAGAGAATACGACCTTCCACTGACCCAGTCTTACTCGGCGTATATTCTAGAAGTCAGGGGCGGATCCAGGATGTTCCAAAGGGGTGGGGGGGGGGGGGGAGGCGTGGCGTGAAATGTAGGAAGTTGCGAGCGACGAAGCCTTAGTTCCATGCAAATTTTTCTCCGTCGGGGAAAAAAAAATCTTTGTCAAAAGGGCAAGAGTGTCCTTCTAGAGCCAAAATTGCCCAATGTGGTTATATACAGTGCCCTGTCATGGTCAAAAAATTATTCTTAAATTCCAGCAAAGTGCCCATCTGAAGCCAATATTGTTTTTTTTTTCAAGTTGCCTCGTTAGGGGTGTCATATTCATAATCAAGGGGGCAAAAGTGCCATTTTAGAGCCAAAATTGCTCTTTTTGATTACTAAAGAGAGGGTTGAGTTCTGGGAAGGGTAAGAAAGTTCTAATAATCTAATTGAGAAATTTGATTAAAGTATTATAACATAAACAAACTTAGGTTGAATTGTTTGGAAGGGGTCTCTCAAATAGTGTAATTTTTAGCCACATAATATGCTTTCAAGGTGGCTCACCATCATTACACATTATACTATTATTTTTTTATTTTTTTATTGTGATAATACACAGCAGTAAATCACAATTTTTCCAAAAATTAACATTGATTAATCTTGTGTAATTACAAATAGGTTGGAAGATAAAATGGACAATTTCCTGACCCTTCCCAGAACTCAATACCTCCCCCTAAAGGAAAGTAAATAAATGATTTTGATGAACAAGGCTCACGCAAAGACCAAGGTCTTTGAACCCACATCGGTATGTGCAAACGCAGAATAACTTTGCGTCATGAAATAATTTATTTTTATTTTCTTTTTCAGGTATCCTTTGGAACTTCTTATCCAATCAATGCTAATTCTTTTAAAAATGTGATTTTTTTGTTGTTTGTTTGCATTTTAATTTGTTCAGCGGGAATTCCAGGAATCTCTCTCTCTCTCTTAGGGGGGCGTTTATCCCCCAAACACCCCCCCACTCGTCATCCCAGTTCAGCTCATCTCACAAGCAAAGGACATTCATGAGAATCCCGCCAGCCAAACAGACTCATCATCCCCGTTCAGCTCATCTCACAAGCAAACAACATTCAAGAGAAGCCCGCCAGCCAAACAGACTCATCACCCCTGTTCAGCTCATCTCACAAGCAAAGGACATTCAAGAGAAGCCTGCCAACCAAACAGACTCATCATCCCAGTTCAGCTCATGTCACAAGGAAACATCTGACAATGTGAGGACTGCAAGCTAGCTCCACTAAGTGGTTCAAGAAAAGCACATTTACCAAGGACATGGCAGAGAGAAAAGCAGAGGAGAAGAAGGTAAGAACATCCCACCAAATTTAACATAGGGAAACAATTAAAGCAACAAAACAAAACACAACACAAAATAAAGCAATGAAGACACTTATTTTGTAATCAGTCTTCACTGCAATTTATTTTCATTTTTCATTTATGTAACATTTCTCGTATGGACATGTAGCACTTTTTGATTACAATTAAGATTGCTGTCTTACAGTACTGTCACATTATTATTTTCACCTAGATATAAAGCTAATCTATCAGTTTTTCAAATAAGTGTCGTGGCATGGCCGGCATTTAAATCTGGACCACCATCGTCAGCATATGACCTCATTAGAGAGTTTTGTTAGGCTGACAGACTTTTTAATATAATGTTACTTTGAACTCAAAAAGGCATAATTATAAGTATATTATTTATTGTCTGCATCAGGAAATGTGATTTTCACTGGTTGGTACAAGTAATGCAATATAAACATACATGTACAGAGACAAAATACTTTAATACATAACATACACGTAAAGAGATAAAATACATGCATAACATACAAAAATAACAGGAAAATACTGATGATACAAGTACATGTAAATGCCTTTCATGATCGATACTGGCATATATAAAGTTAAACAGTTAGTCCCCATGTTCCAACAATAACCTTGCTATGTCTATGAGCCTGGGAAATGATAACAAAGACTATAAAGATTGTAATTTCTAAATCATGCTGAGTTTATGAGCGGGAAGGTTCATGGCACCAGAGCATCAATCAGTCTAAGGCTTGCACAGTCTATATGGTGTTTCTTTTTCTCAATTTGTTTAGAATGATGTTATAATTCCAACTCTTTAATGGCTTCTTGCATATGGCTCATGTCTGCTATGGAGTGGTCCTCCAATATTATTTTTGTTTTAATTAGGTAACAATTATAACCTAATTGTTTGAAGATAGACTATTGTAGTCTATTGTATCTATGCTATTAGCCTTTTATCTGC